ATTCAGGACTTAAGTGTAGTCCTGAGTGTCCAGAGCACAGGATTGTTGAAAGCAAACACCTTGTCCTGCCATCTCACTCAGCAGCTGCAGGGGGTGGGGGGTGCTTCGCAGAATGAGCAGTTTAACAGAAGCAACTTGATTCTGGGTTCCTAGAATAGAGCTGGGTAATTTTCCGTGGGATTCTCCATCAAGGAGATCAAATTTAGACAAACCTGAAATGGCCTCTGCAAGACTACAAGATGGAGGAACCCCTGCACTGCCTTGCCTCATTACAGTACCACCCCCGGGCAGGTGGGCCTGGGTGCTGTAAGAAAGAAAATGCAGCAAGTCATGGGGAGCAAAGCCAGGGAGCATCACTCCTCCACGGTCTTTGCGTCACCTCCAGTCTCAGGTTCCTGCCTTGAGTTCCTGCCCTTTCCCTGGGTGATGGAATAGAAACTATAAGATGAAATAAGGGCTTTCCTCCCCAGGTTGCTTTTGATCATGGTGTTTTATGATGGTGCTTTGAATGAGAATGGCCCACACAGGCTCATGTGTTTGAATGGTTGGTCCCCAGTTGGTGACCTGTTTAGGAAGGATTAGGAGGTGTGGCCTTGTTGGAGGAGGTGTGTCATCGGGAGTGGGCTTTGAGGTTTTGGAAGTCCCCTCCAGGCCCAGTCTCGAGCCTGCTCTCTGCTTGTAACATTCCTATCCAATGTGAGCTCAGTACTCCAGCTCCATGCCTGCCTGCTGCCATGCTCCTCACCACGTTCATGGACTAAACACTCTGAAACTGTAAGCAAGCCCCCAGTTAAACGCTTACTTCTTTAAGTTGCCTTGGTCATGGTGTGTCTTCAAGCAATAGAATGAAAAGACACTTATCATAGATACAAGAACCCTAACTAAGACACAAGCTCCTTGGGCAGCCAGACTCTAAGCTAATTAGGCCGCAGATGGCACATCCTGTGTGATGGATACCAGTTTGACTAAGCATTCTGGGCTTCCCAACTTCCTCCATATCTTCTAAGCCACATATTGACAAAACGTCTTCCTCACAGTATAGGACCCCTTCTCTCTCCTGAAGACTGAAATGGCCATCTTTGCTCTTTTCGGTGGTCTGAGGCCTTTTCCTTTGGAGCTCACCATTCTGTCTGGCATCAAATAAAGCTTGGGACAGTCTGCCTGGTGTTTCTCTTGAGCCCAAGACTTTACAACAACCCGCTTCAGGAAATAAAACCATTATTGACCATGACCAGCCAAGGAAACCACGCATCAACCCCTCAAAAGTCAGAGCGAGTCTGGGAGGAGGGGAAACACTGATCACAAACCAAAACGTCAGCCCTAGAGGATGGGGACTTGACTAATGACCAACGGCCCCTCCAGTTACAAGTGATGCCCAACTAAGGAAAGGCAAAAATTACAATCTGAAACACGTAGGGTGCCTTCATCAGTATAACTCCTTCAGCTTCGTGTGCCAATAGTCACAGCAGACCCCAACTCTCGTTCTTAGACGTCTGCTAACAAGCTTCCACACTCTCGCCTGCAGCTACGCCCACCAATGATGGAGGCCGGGCAGCCCGCTGTCTTGCTGGACCACATTCTGAATGTTTTTTGTGTCTCCCTGTTTAGAAGATCTTTGCTTATTTCCTTTACTAGGATTAAAGTATTTCAGGATAAAAATGTAAGGGAAAATGGAAGCCAAACAAACAAGCAAAAACGTAATAAAATATTCTTGTGATTCCCAGCTAGGAGTCAAGTTGCTCAGCGGAAGCTTAGGATGTCCAGGCACACTTGGACACAGAGCGATGGCGCTGATCTCAACCGGAAGGGGCCGAAGAAAACGGTGAGCTCTGGTCGGCTAGGAAAACGTGGGAGTTTGGCAAAGATACTGGTATGATTCCTAGGAATAGGAAAGGCTGAATGTCGATAGGGTCTACTGGTGAAAAGTTTATTTGTTTTGGCAGACAAATGTCAGGCCCGTGGTTATTGCCCTGACTTCTTTTTTGGAATGTTCTTTTAATTATTTAAAAATTCTCTTAAATATGTAACAGATAATCAGTAAAGGAGAATGAATCAGTCTATGTAGAGAATGGAAATGCGCCCACCAAATTGTGACCAGGGGAGGGTGAAGGAATATATTCTAGGAAGAGGAGAGGCGCCAAGAACATGACCAGAGGATGATGAGGGAGAGGGGAAACAGCGAGGAGACGCAGGTCCACGTGGGCCACACAAAAACCCTGCGTGCCCTACTCTGTGCACAGGCCAGCTTGGTGAGGCCTCTTGGACTCAACCCCGGATCAAGAACTGCAGATGCCTTATTTTCCTAATTAACGGAGCTCATTCATTTCTTTAAAAAAAAAAAAAAATTGGGGTCAGCAGCATCATTTACACAAGACAGGAGGGAGGTAGTGAGTGTAACAAGTGGTTGTATTTTCCGTAGAGAACAGCTGTGGAGTTTTTCCTAAGTTAATGCATGTTTCTGTTCTTGTTTACCGGGTTATACAAACAAGGATTTGAAAAAGCTTCCAAATGCAAATCTTATTTTATTCTTTAAAGCAAAGATGTGTCAGTGTGCCCTTAAGGAAGGGATAAACTTGTGCAATGCACCGATTGCTCCTGCTCCTGAGCCTTCCAGGGAGGCATTCACTGCAAAAAAAAGCAGGGCTAAGCTTAGGTTTGCTCCATCCAGACAGGCGGGCGCGGGCTGAGCCTGGCCGCGGTCCTCGGGCGCTGCACCTCCTCGGGGTCAGTCCCCTCGTGTCCTGCAGCTCCCGTGAACACTGGCCGGGTCCTTTCCGTGCACTTCGGGAGGCCCCGCTTCAGTCACCAAGACTGAAGACGGGATGACAGTCTGAGGGCGGCTCTGCTCAAAGCAGAACACGTCAGGGACGAACGGGACAAGAGAACGTTCCCTGTGTTTGCATCGGGAGATCTTGGAACTTCCCTGGTGACGAATCCCGCTCAGTCCTGCAGACGGACAGGTTGACAATGCATATCTATAAGAAGAGGAGTAGGAAAGCACTGCTCAGGTGAGGGCTCCATAGCTCAGGGGTTAGAGCACTGGTCTTGTAAACCAGGGGTCGCGAGTTCAAATCTCGCTGGGGCCTTCGACTCTCCTTTTGTTTTCAAGTCAGTGCAGGGGCCGCCCTTGAGCAAACGTGCGTCCTCCGCCCGTCCGCCCTGCACCCGGGGTCTGCGGCTTCTCAGCCTCGCGCCTCGCGTCTGCCGCCGGAAGCAGCGGGGCCACCCGGCCGGGACTCCGCGCGAGGCCGGCGGTTAGCTTTGTAAGCGGGACCCGGCGCTCGGCCTGCCAGCAGAAGGCGCTGCGCCACCGCGGATCCCATTACCTACGACCGAGCATGAGCCTTGGGGTAGAAGGACAAACCCAGTGTGCCGGCGGCTCGTTGGTCTAGGGGTATGATTCTCGCTTAGGGTGCGAGAGGTCCCGGGTTCAAATCCCGGACGAGCCCGATTTTTGAGTCGTGAAATCTGGAAGTCACTCTAAGCAATCAACAATGAAAACTAAAGAGCAATCTACTTTTCTGGGTAAAGCCGAGTTACCGGCCTCTCCGAAGGGGCCGCTGTGCTTGTCACGCGTTAATGGGCGCCTGTCTCCGTTCTTTTGTCCACGACAACCCCTTCCCCTTTTCTTTTTTTAGCTCATGAACCGGGTCCCTTTCCTCACTGTCCCCGCGGCTGCCGTCAGCTCTCCACAGACTCCGCAGAAGCCTTTTAGCTTCGTCTCCTCAGGCTCTGTTCTCCATTCTACAGAACAACCGTGTGTCCCATTAAACAAGGGAAAAGGCAACATTCTGTTCGGATCTCCTCACCACCTTTAGAACAAAATCTGGGAATTTTGCCCTAAACTCCTGACACGCGCCCCCAATTCTAGCTATGCTGGTCTACCCCCCCCCCCCACACACACACACCCGCTTTTCAAATACAGGAGCCTAAATATTTTTCTGTCCTAGATTATAATCCCGTCGCATATTTATATGATTTCTCTTTACTCCTGTGTTCAAACGTCACCGTTTTAGAGACACCTTTTTGGAGCACTCCGTTCCAAGTAGCCCCAGCTGTCACTGAGCCCTGTGATTTTTCTTTACGGCACGTATCACTGCTGAATACTATTAATTAGCTTTTCTTTTAAAAGGCATGGTCCGACAGAACTCAGTATAGAGCCCTGACCGGCCTCAAACTCAAAATCCTCCTGCCTCAGCCTGCCCAGTGCTGGGGTGTCTCACCATTCCCAGCTCACTACTGGGTAGCGTTATTATATATTGTTGTCCCTTTCCTCCAAAGCGCTGACTTGCAGTCCTCTCCTCTCTTTGGATAGAGCCCCACGAGACAAGCATTTTATTACGCTGGCTGCTGTAATCCTCACACTTCGCAGTGTCCCCGACACATAGTAGGGGATTAGTAAAGAACGAACACCTTTGCTCTCCTCCTGGTCCTATCTACTGGTTTCTACAAGTCTTGGGTAAATAGTATTGATCTTTGGTCTTTCGTTTTCATAGGTAGAGGCTGGCGTAGGGGCCGAGCGTAGGGGCCATGCTGTGATGGGCTTGCATGAAAATGTGGAAGCCTAAACCTACTCTTCCCGACTCTGCTCTAAGTACCGTGCACGTAGGTGTCGAATCGGCCATCGGAGGTTTGTGCTGTTCTTATCCCCACTTGACGAGGAGTGTCCTGGACAGGCAGTGTGTGTTAGTCACCTTCCTGTCGTCCTTACCCCACAGGACACTGCCCATGGCAGAGAAGGGCTCGGAGTGTGCTCCTGAGTTGGGTCGCGTCCCCTTTTAGCTCGATGTCTTTGGGAGACCGAGCATTCAAGGACACCCGGCGAGGGCGCCACTGTCTTTAAACAGTTTGCATTAGGAAGGACCAGGTTAAGAACGTGCGCTCAAAAGGACGCCCACCCACCCACCCACTCTTTCTGCCCGCTGGAAACAAGCGCTAGGCGCCGAGGAAGGGAGAGCAGAGTTTAATTTTCAACACACGAGTGCAAAAGAAATCTGATGGCAGCGGTGGGATTCGAACCCACGCCCCCGAAGAGACTGGAGCCTTAATCCAGCGCCTTAGACCGCTCGGCCACGCTACCGATAAAGTAAGCCCCTGCATTCTCTCTACTTCTCCTTTCCACCGACCACGGCGCACGATTGGGTGTTGTGCCCCTTTTTCTTGTTTGTTCAGCTTTCGCCTTTTTTTGGTTTGTTTGTTTGTTTTTTGTTTTTGTTTTTTTTAGCCAAAGAGTCTGACACTATGGAAAGATCGGCGACCCAGAGCGGGGAACGCAGCCCCGCGGAAACACGCCGCGCCCTCGGAGCGTCCGCGCAGACTCCCCTTCCCGCAGCATCTCCATCCGGATTCTGAAAACCCACAGAGGTCCCGGTACCGCTTCTTCCTGGAAGGATTCGGGGTTTCGGGGTTCCGTGCCTTTGGATTTGGGCAAGGAGACTGCAGGGACTTTTTTCCTTCACCAGGGGGAGCCCCGTGCCTATAGTTATCAAAGGAAAACTGAAACCATCGGCGGACGAGGCCGAATCTAGTTAAGGTCACAGTAAAAACGGCATGGTTTAGGATGGCTGCTTGGTCTAAGGTTATGACCCTCGTTTAGTGTGCCAGAAGTTCCAGGTCCTCCTCTCGGGGTCAGTCCTCTCCGCGGTAAACCCAAACGTTTCTTGAAGCGAGACAAAATCATACTAAATAGGAATAATCTGATTTAGTGTAACCACGACGTAACAACTATGTCAGACGCATGTATTTCATCTTTAGGTAAACTCTCTTCCTGTGAATTAATAGCGAGAGTAACTACCAGACACTACCACCCACCGTTTATACACACTCTCGAGTATCGTTACACTGCAATCAACCCCCATCTCTCTTTTGCAGTTTTCAGAAAATGTTTTCAGGACTTTCTTAGAGAAGCGAGTTTTATGTCAAGGATTTCACCATGCCCTCTGATTGCCTCAACTGTGGTCGGAGCGAGTCATCTTTGAATACTGGAACATCAGGAGGCAGCAAATGGGAGGCGTCATGCTACAGGAAGCCTGGGCTTCCTCCCTCCCTCAGGCCCTTTTGTATGGGGATGAAAGAGTCCTAGGCAGTGTCGCTCCTTGGAAAGAGCTCTCACCAGAGCTTTCCTTACGAGGATTTTTAACCTCTCAATGCTGGAATTTCTGAAGCAGGGGTTCTGGGCACAGTGCTTTTTTCAGAGCTCTCTGGTGTGCTTAGGGGTGCCCGCGGAACTAAAGATGCTACCAAGTTCCTTGAAGCCACGCTCCTCACTGTACTTTGCCTTCTCTAGTTGAGTTCTAGGCCCAACCCTCAATCCAGTTTAGTTTCTCATTGAGACTGTAGTCTCTTCCCAAACCACAGAAATGCTGGGCCACGTCTCTTCCAGGTGCTAAACCAATCTGGATTCTAAGCCTTTGTGGGCAAAGAAGGTACTGTTCTGAACCTCCCATGAAAGGCCCTGAAGGGGTCTAAGTGGTCTGCTACGTTTTGCTCATTCCCCATGTGCAGGAAGTAGGAGTGGAATTTACCAGAAAGGATGGTCATACAATTAGATAAGTGTGTGCCTGTGTGTGTGTGTGTGTGTGAGTGTATTTTGAGTGTATATTTGTGAGTGTATGCATGTGTGTGAGTCTGTGTGTGTATGCATGTGTGAGTGTATTGTGAGTGTGTGCATGTATGTGACTGTGTGTGTGTGTGTGTGTGTGTACTCCTTATTAAGGTAGACCGCATTACACAGGCAGGGAGGGAGAACAGCACAGAGCTAACAGCTATAACCAAAATCTCTAAAGGGTTGCCAGCAAGTCAAGTGAGGGATTCAGAGGCACAGTAATCAACTTAAGGCCTTGCAGAGTGGGAAATCAACATGTTTCCCTCCTTGGTTTTGTTTTTTGTTTTGTTTTGTTTTAACTTTCTCATGTTATGAGCGTACAATGCTGGAGGATTTCATCAAAGCAATCCTCCAAAAAGATGATAGTAAAGCCCTCAGGGAGGCTCATCATCGGGGAAGTTGCTGATGCTAAGCCTGATGACCTCGTCCTGGGGATCCACGCAGTGGAAGAAGAGAGCTCTTACACGTTGTCCCCTGACCTCCCCCCAATCACCATGGCACAGGCACCACCCTCTCAAGTGCTAAATTAATACGTAAGATTTGAAATTATAAAATGGGCTGGAGAGATGCTTCATTCGCTAAGAGAGCTTGCTGCTCTTCCGGAGGACCCGAGTTTGGTTCTTAGCTCCCAATATAGGTGGCTCACAACTGCTTGTAACTCCATCTCCAGGAGATATGACATCTCTTGGGCACCTGCACTTAGGTGCACGTGCACATACACACACACACACACACACACACACACACACACACACACACACACCGAATAAACCTTAAATCCTGGCATGGTGGCACATGCCTTTAATCGCAGCCTTTAAGATGCAGAGGTAGATAGATCTTTGTGAGTTTGAGGCCAGCCTGGTCAATATATCTGATGTCTTCAGACCTAACAATATCAAGCTCCATGTCTGTCAGGGTTATATAGTGAGACTCTCTCTGGAAAAAAAAAACAAAACAAAAAAAATCAAAAAACAAATATCAGAAATTCTTACAAATTAAAAATAATGCAAGTACAGTTCCTTTAGACCAACCATTCACATGTTCCTCATGCAGTTAATGTTTACTGAGCTCAGGGGTCATAGCATCAGTTCGTGGGACAGGAACCAGTTTTAATGATTCCCAAGTGGCCCTAGTGGGTGCTGATGAGCCGGGAGAGATTTTTATTTGTTTGTTTTGTTTAAAACATATCTGGATTTTCTAGAGCCATGATGATTATTCTAGTTCATCTTTCCCAAGGATTTATCTTATTTTCTGCTCCAGAGAAGAAAGCAGACCCCCGGGAGTGCACAGAGGGAAGAATGCCCTGGGAGTACAGGGAGGAAGGTGGCTTTAATGGTCCTTCCATTCAGAAGGCTTGGGCGAGTGCCCAGGCTGCTGGTACAGAAGAGAAGCCAGGTATGATGTGATCAGAGCACCTCTTGAACTTGAACATAGAAGGGACTGTCCTACCCTTCGAAGGGTAGGCTTTGGGCAATTTCTCCTCATCTGGTCATTCTTGGGTTATTAGCCTGTGGCGGTCATTATAGGAACCCAAGGAACATCTTGGGACAAGAAATGCCTGCCCCTCCCACGGAAGGAATTTGTGTGCACAGCCTGGGGCTCTAACTGTTAAACCCAGGTTGACTGTCTCCACCTCAGAACACCATCGGTCTGAGGGCTGGAGCAGACTGCTCTTGGGTGTTTGCGCGGGGGCCACTCTGTTCACCTTACGAGGCCCTGGGAGGGGAGTTGGAATATCTCCCAGGAGCTTGTAGGGGGATCATCTCTGAGGAGGCGTCCCTTTGACCACATTGCCAGTTCCCTAAGCTGTTCCACAGGAATACTCCTCTACTCCCAAGTCAGACCCCGCTTTTGGATCCGGACCTAGCAGCTACCGCCATGCTTTCTCATTGCTTGTTTCCAGGAAAGGCTGGGAGGCACAGAACACCTCACCTCTCCTTCCTGGATAGCCAGTCATATGAGATCAGCCTGTGCCTGCCTTTAAATGAAGCCCAGTAACCTTGGTTTGTAAAAGCAGATTGGAGTCTTACTGTCATGCTTCTTTTTTCCTAGCACTCCTGTCGGAGATACAGAAATGGAAACCCTGGAAAGTGGCGTACATGGCTTCTCATGCTAACATAGGTAGCTGATGTCACTAAAGGGACAAGACATGACTTCTTTTACCCATTTGCCTGTTGTGCCCAGGTCGAAAGACCCCCAAGCAAGACCACCACAGAGCCAATATCCGATGCAAGCACACAGAGGTTTTTATTAACAAAACAAGCAAGCTTGGTCCACCATCCAGCATCCAACACATTGGGTGGAGGAGAACGCCCCGACCACTCACTTGAAGGGGTTTATATAGGAAAAGTTTACATGCAGCTTGGGATTGGATGAGGGGGCTAGGGTGAGGTAAGCATAAGGTTACTAATTGCTAACAGGATTCAGGGTATCTCTAGAGACATAAATTTTTATTCCCCATGTCCTGCTTTTGTTGACACATTCAGATTTATTGTTGTAGTCCTACTCTGTTCTAATGTCAACTTCTGGTCAGTTGAGTCCATTACTCCCCATATCTTGTTTTGCCAAGTCCAGGATACATAGATTGATTTTCCCAGCCTTAAGTTCAACTTCTGATCACTTCTAAAACTGCTGGTCAGCAAATGCCTTTGGAGGAGGGGAAGAGGAAGCATCTCTCAAGATGGCTACTTTCCCTTTCAGGTTCCCCTATAAACAGGTGATCTTAGTGGACACTGTGCTAAAGATGTGCTCTCTTCTCCATATGTGCAGTTTGTGGAGAGGAGGCTAGGCAAAGCCTCTGCAACACCATGTGGCCAGTCATCCACAGGAAACTCACTTCCCCCAGCAGTGACTGTTGAAGAAGACCCTCCAGGCCGGGCGGTGGTGGCGCACGCCTTTAATCCCAGCACTCGGGAGGCAGAGCCAGGCGGATCTCTGTGAGTTCGAGGCCAGCCTGGTCTCCAAAGCGAGTTCCAGGAAAGGTGCAAAGCTACACAGAAAAACCCTGTCTCAAAAAAAATAAAAAAAAAGAAAAGCCAGAAAACCCTAGCCTTAGGAGTAGCTGAAAACTGGTGCTGAGGTCATTGGCCTTTCCTGATTAAACTGTGAAGTTCCCCTTCGTTAGAATTCCTAGCCACTCCCCCAGCTACATGACCATGTGCATGATTGCACACACCCACAGTCCAGTAGCCAGGCAAGATGCTTAGTCATCCTAGGGCCTTACGTCCTACGTAATCCGTGTGCTGCATGCAGTGTGATCACGTAATCTATGCATGTGTGGCATAGCTACATAAGCCCATATGCGCATGTGCAGGGGGGCGGGACCTATAAAAGCAGGCTCCATCTATTCCTTCCCTCTCTTCCTGCACGGTCACTTCATAGGCCTAAGCACACCCCCTCTCTATTCCCTTAATAAACTCTTATAGTGGGTTTTGTTCTGCCTTGTGGCTTTTCTTGCATGGTAAATAGTGCTGCTTAATAAATAACATCACACCACTTAATATATAACACCCCTTCTTTCATATGGATAGCCGTGTATTTCAGTTTGATGTGAACTGATCAGATGAGGAATCTTCAAAAGGAGAGTGATGAGCCCTTAGCCCTTCTTAGGGCACGATTTCCATCCCAGGTGCTCTTAACCATTGAGCCATCTCTCCAGCCCAAGACCTGGCAAAATCCTAAACAACATTGAGATTTGTTAAACAGAAAGAAAAGGAAACTATTAATTTTCCAGGCCTACTCTGATTGTCCCATGTAAAACTGCACAGCGCCCATCTTCTAAAAACACCCAGTATGTTTACTTTTCATTGTCGATCAACATCTACCAGATGTAAACTCCACAAGAGCAAGAATTTAAACTTTTTACATAAATAGCTGCAGATATATATACAAAAAAAATGGAGAAAGGATGATGGATCCCATCATACTCGTTGTCTAAGTTATTTTTCTGTTTCTGTGCTAAGACACCATGACAGAGGCAACTTACAGAAGAAAGAGTTTACTGGGGACTTAGAGTTTCAGGAGATTGGAGTCCGTGGCCATCATGGTGGGGAGCATGGCGGCAGGCAGGCAGGCATAGCACTGGAGCAGGAGCTGAGAGCTCACATCCAGGTGGAGATGATAGAGACAGAGGCAGAGAGAGAAAGAGAGCTGGGAATGGTGTGGGCTTTTGGAACCTCAAAGCCCACTACTAGTGACACACTTCATAATCCTTCCCAAACAGTTCCATCAAATGGGGACCAAGAATTCAAATATACAGGGCTGTAGGGACCATTGTCATTCTAATGACCACACTTATCTTCCTAAAACAACGTCGTAGGCTGGAGTATGGCTCAGTGGCAGAGCAAATGGTCAGCACATATGGTGCTTTTGATCTTTTGCCCCAACCCCAACAGACTGTCTCTCCTTCTCTCTCTCTCTCTCTCTCTCTCTCTCTCTCTCTCTCTCTCTCTCTTCCTCTCTTACACACACTTAAACATTTGTGTATACACACTAACACAGACACATACACAATCTCACATAATACATACATTTACACACATCACACACATTTACAGTCACACATACATATACAATAACACGTTCTCACATATATGTACAACACACACATTCATACACACTCTCACACATGTACATTTTCACACATATATACCACTCCACATACTTATAGTCATACACACACATGCACCCTCACATAATCACACATTCTCACATACATACATCCATACACTCAGATACACATATACACATACACTTACACACACATGTTCATTCGCACACTCGAGCTAAAGGCTCAATGTCAGAGCAAGACTACATCAAGTGATGTTTTCTACCCCCACCTGCCCCCGCCCCACATCTATCCATCAGACGTTCTGAGATGGACGGTGACACAGTTTTTTCTGTTGCCTCAGTATCCAGAACCACACGCCTTATTAAGTGCTCATCCACTAATTCCCATGTGGAAGCTCATGGATGATTTGTGTTTTGTTTGTTTTAACACCTGATATGTTTCAAAGATTCAGCAGAGTCTGGGAACTGTTGCCACACTCTTCAGAAGCCCAGAGCTTTAGCTAGATGAACGCTCAGTCCAGAGAACTGATTTTACCCAGTCCCAGATACCATACGGGAATCAAACGTGCTGAAACAGGTGTTTGGAGCTGGCAGGATGGAGCTCTTGCTATGCTTCCTGATTTTATGTCCCTACCATGACCCGTCTAGAACTTCCATCTCTATTAGGGAGGAAAAGCAGCAGCTCTTTCACAGAGTTGTAGTTAGGACTGATTAAAAACTTAGATGATGGGCAATACTGTGGTTGGCATACACCAGGATTAAATGTTTCCACAGAGTCCACAACTGCTCACTGAGAACCTATCCTGGACCGGCCTCACCAATGTCTCACTTTGAAGGCAAAGCCTCTTCCTCCCCGAAGGCATCCAAGCACACTGTTCCACGGGTTCCTCCCTTTCTGCCCTCTCCTCTTCTGCCCTCCCCACAGTCAACAACTCCTTACCAGCTCTTGTCTGGGGACTGTGAGACGCAAAGGATTTCCTCACATACATGATTAAAAGGACATGTTACCTGTGAGAGCGAGAGCAAGAAGGGCAGGTGAGGGGAGCTAGCGCCACAGACCGCAGGAGAATCCGTGCAAGGGAAAGAATCAGAAAGAACAGATTATAGTAGATAGTCTGGACAGCGTGTGGAACTGGGTGGAAAGGAAGCTGATCGGTAATAGGATGAGAGCTTTCTGACGGGCAGCCCTTGCAATGGGGTCTTCCATGGCCAGGGTGATTTTAAGTAGCAGGACAGGATAATATATCCTGGGGGACTCTGATCACCCTCTGCTCCTTTCTGTTCCCTTTGTTTACTAGGAGTTAAAGCCAGAGATGTGAAGGGAATCTTGCCCCTGATGGTACTAATGGTGATCGTTTTCCTGCTGCTCCTGTTCTGGGAAAACGAGACGACTGAGGATGTTATGCTGACCTCCATAGAGCATTTGCACGTGGACTATCCTCAGAACTCTGCCCTTCTGAGGTACTGCAACTACATGATACTACAGAGAGTCATCAGGGAACCTGACCACGCATGCAAAAAGCTGCATGTCTTCATCCACGAGCGGCCTCAGAAAATCAACAGCGTTTGCACTTCCTCCAAGAAGATGACGTGCCCAAACTATTCTGACAGTTCCTGCTTCCAGAGTGAGACAAGGTTCAGAATGACAGTCTGTCAGCTCATCGATGGCACCAGATATCCTGCCTGCAGGTACCAAATTGCCCCTATAGAGGGCTTCGTTCTTGTCACTTGTGATGACTTGGGGCCAGTTAATTTTCAGGGATATATTGAATAGCTCGCCAGCAGCACAGAGTGTGTGAACTTCTCTCTGGTTAACCCGAACTGTGTGGCTGTGGTGTACTGCTGTGAGCGGAATGGGGCGGGGGGGGGGGGGTGGTGGTGGGGGGTGGTGGTGATTGATCCTCCCAGTGTGGCTGAGGTGCCACCACTGATTCTGTGTCAATAAAAACATCTTTGCTGAATTAAACCACAAACTCCGCATGTGTTTTCAGTTCTTGCTCCTTACTGGTGAGTCATTTAATGAGAACTGACGGGCATCTTGTAGGACTGGGTGAGTGAGTAGGAGTCACTTAGGTTTAACACTCAAGGGACCACCAACCAAACATCAGACAACCAGAACCCAATTATTAATCTATATAAACAACAGTAAGTCAATATTCTGAAAAGTCAAAATCATAGCAAAAATCCTTTTTGTGTAAAATATCTTTATCTCAAAGATCCAGTGTGGTAGGACAGGATTGGGTGAGGCAGATTATATGAACTTATCAGCAGAGAATTGGATCATTTTGTTTAAAAATTTTAATTTTGTGCATGAAAAATTATATATGGCATAAATTTTTTGAATCACGTTTTTATTTATTCTTTAAGAGTTTCATATTATGTCTGTTGTTTGTTTAAGACAGCATCTTATCTTGTAGCCCTGGATGGCCTGGGATTCACAATGTACAACAAGCTGGCCTCAAACTCATGGAGATCTGCTCTCCTCTGCCACCCGAGGGTTGGGATTAAAGGCCTATGCCACAATGCCTGGCTCATACAATGTATTTTGATCATATTCATTCCCCACCTCCAACTTTTCCTAGTTCTTTCTGATGTTCCTACCCAGCCCCCTAATTGGTTATCCACTGCAAAGTGATCAGCCTTGAAACTATATAGACATAAACAACAACAAAAATGACTCACAGCAGGATATATATATATATATGTGTGTGTGTGTGTGTGTATATATATATATATATATATATATATATATATGCGCAGTAATAATAAAAGAAGAGCCTATCAGTTTGAGAACGAGGAAACATAGAAGGGGTTGGAAGGAGGGGACATGGCAGGGGCTGGAGGAAAAGGAAGAAGGGGGAAAAGTGACATGATCCTGTTTTTATTAAAAACGGATTAAAAATATCAGCTTCATGTTCTTTCTTTCTCTTAAAAAAAACAAAACAAAAAAAAAACAAAACAAAAAACCAAACCATGGAGTTCAATTTGGGCTGGCCAACTACTCCTGAGCTTGGGGCCTGCCCTGAGGTATGGCTGCTATACCCAATGGCACTCCATTAAAGAAAACTGAGATTTCCTCTTCCAGCAGCAATCAATTGATAGATTTTTGCCGGGGTGACGGGGGTGGGGGCTGTCTCCACTTCCCCTTCAATTTCCTTGTTTTATTTTGTGTGTTTGTGTCACATTCACCAGAGAGGTGAAAAGGGACCCTCTAACACCCTGACACTGGAGTTACAGTTGGTGTGAGACTTTCCGTGAGTTCTGGAAACTGAACCGTGGTCTCTGCAAGAGCAGAAAGTGCTGTTAACCTCTGAGCCGGATCTCCAGCCCTCAATTTATTTTTTTTAAGAGAAAGCAATTGGGGTCACCTCTTAGGAACTTTTCTCCTTTAATATATATATATATACTTTAAACTTCTTGTTTGTTTTTATCAAATCCACCCAACTCGATCTCCTCCAACTCCTCTCATGCCCCCTACATCTCCACCCACAACTTCGTGCATTCTTTTCTTTCTCAACACAGAGCCTACTTTCCTGTGTGCCACAAAGTCTAATCAGAGCCATGTGTATCACCCTGAGTTTGGAACTAACCGTCAGAGCCTGAACCTGTGGGTTCCCAGGATCGGCCGTGTGTGGTATGGCCCATGAGTCCTTTCCCCTCCCTGGTTGACTGTTAAGAGGGCCTGACTTTGGTGCACCCATTCCCAGGGTGCCAAGCTGCAGTAAGTTCATGGTTGCCATAGCCAAGTTGTGTACAGAAGGTGGTATTTTGCAGTCCCTCTTCCTATCCCATGGCCCTTAGACTCTTTCAGTCCCCTTTTTCATAATGCTATGTGAACCTTAAGGGGTGATATAAATGTCTTGCCTAGGGATGAGCGTTCTTTATTCCCAGCATCTTGTTCAGCCATGAGTATTTGTGTGTACCTTTGTTCACCGCAAGGAGTGAACAAAGCCTTTGTTTAAGGAAGAGAGTACCCTTTGTCTGTAGACAAATAACAGTAAATAACAATAAACAGAGCTATTCAGAGGGTGGTTTGATGCTATGTTGATTCAGCTAAGCAGCCCAATTAGGGTCCCCTCCAGAGTCAAAGACCTTTTCAGTTGTGGTTTACAGTATTAGGCAAGACCAAAATCCAATCAGGAAGCAGTGGGTTACCCCCATAACAGTCATGCCACTGTTACATAGATAGGCACATCTTGCATGGTAGGTTGGTGTGTCAGTTCACATCAGTGTTGACTCATCAATGCCTTTGCCCCACAGCACCCTGCACAGCACTGTCTGGCACACTGAGAGCCAGCCAGCAAGGGAGAATCTTCCAATCAGTTCCAACTTAATTTCTCTACAACTTTCATCCAACAACAAGTATGTGTTGTCTACAGCAGTAGGGTGGGTAACCAAGAGAAGTGACAGGAGCCTATATTTTGTGTAGAGGGGTACTTCTGGGATCTTTAAGGTTTTTCTAAATATAGATTATATGACTTATACTGCATCTGTTCCTGTTTATCAGGTTCTCCAGGTTGCAAAAGAAAAGAAAAGGAGATTGGAAGGCACCTGACTGGTCAGAAACCATTTCCCACAAAGACTGTGGAGAGATTCAGATACCAATGTCCCAAGGAAGGACTGAGCCTCTCTGAGCTAATGTTTTTCCTTTTCAAAGTTTTGGAGGAAACAGAGGGGGCTTTGGAGCAGACTGCCAGCTCCTTCCCCTTTTGGTTCTTGCTGTTAAATCAGTGTGTAGACACCCCATGTTCAAGTATGGACATGACAACCTTACAGCCAAAGGAGAGAGGAAGACAAATAGAGGCATCCAATTCCGGAAATTTTATCAAATCTTGATCCTTAGTTTCCTGTCATTAGTCTTCTAGTTGTTAGTTTTTCCACCTATAAAGCTAGGTAAACTTGGAGGTTGTTTCCAAGTCCATTATCCTATAATTCTATTTCTTAGGTAGTGCAGAAAGCAGCTTTGCTTGAGGGAAGGCTTGGGGTTGGAAAACAGTAAGGAATATGGGCAATGGACAAGTAGGGGCCAGTTTCTGGGGCCATTAATTCTGAGGGATGTAGTTTCAGTCCTGTATGTGAGAAGCAGGACTCAGACAAGTGAGTGGGCCGGAGCAGGGTGAACAATTCCCAAGCTTTAGAGAGCTCGTTCTGTCCTGATCGTCTCAGCTGAGAGACTTCAGCTGTTGCCTCAGCCATTTGGACTTAACTCAAGGTCGTATCAGAAGAGGAGGTACATCTCTGTGGGCTGCTAAGCCTGTCTTTTCAAGACGTTAAGTTATAACTGAGTAGGTGGGTTGATGGGGAGGAGGGCGACCATCCCAAGCGAAGCACACTTCACACCCGTCTCATGGCTTCTTCCCCACGGGGCAGTCCTTCTCCAGATGAACATTATTTCCTAGTTCTCTGTTGGAACCCCATCGTCTTGGCTGCCCTGTGGAGTTTTGAGTGCTACCAAGTGAGCAGAGCGCTCAGCGTCTGAAGAGAAAGGGAGCCGCAGCAGTTGTACTGAGAAGTGACGTCCACAAGGGTAGCCTCGCCCTGAAGCAGACAAACTCGTCTGTGCTGCTGTTTTCTTGCGCCATCCCTAGACTTCAGTGTCCTTCCCTCTGTTCTCATCACATTTTCTTCCCTCCTTTTTCTCTGACCTACTTAAAAACAAAATTTGAAGATAAATAAATCCCCTTTACGCGATACAGGGATGGCATCCATCTATAGGAACCCATCTCATAGTATTTTCATTCAGTGGAAATCAAAGCCAAATTCAAATGAATTATGACATTTTAGATTGTAAGCGCCTGCACTTACTTACTGGGCCAACATCACCTGATATGGCTGAGAGGGATGAAATCAGACCAGGCTGGAGGGGCCGCAGCACAACTGAGGCTATGACAATTTTATTGAGAGCAATCCGACTTTTTATATCTTTATCAGAAACAGACTGTAATGCCAGTTTCCAGGATCGATACTGCTGCAGTTGCCAGGATACAGTGAAGCTTACAAGTCATACAGAGTACGCAAGATTAATGTCTAAGACCAATTGTCTTCTCGAGCTCCCATGCCCCCTTGACTACTAAGGGAACATACAGAGAAACACAAGGCAGCCTGAATGCTTTGCTACCTTAGGGAGTGCATCAGTCTCTCAGGAACCGGAAGGGACACTGTGCCCCGAGGAGCTATGGACTCTAACCTGAAAAACCTATGACAGAAGCCTCTCAAGGCAGCTAGGCCAGGCCAATTCCATGATTCCCTACATTAGATGCTTTACTTTGGGTGTCTGTGCATTTTTTAACGAATGTCTAATAATTTGAAATCAAGCACAGGCAGCTGTGAATCCTGCTCATGTGAAATACGTGTTTCACAAGGACAGGATCTCTGTACTGCTCTTCCTCATTACCTTTCCATTTGCTAATATCAGCTCATTAAGAAAGGCCAAAGCAAAGGATTTAAAAACATAAGAAAAACAGAAAAAAAAACATAAGTTATTTACAAATTCTTCCTCTATCCAAAATCTACCAAGTCTATGCCCAGAGAACAGTCTCAAGGAAGACATGTGGACTGAGTTCTTAATAATCTGCCAATGGTTGGGTGTTTTAGCACATGTCTATCATTTCAGCATTCTGGAGGCTGAGGCAGGAAGATCAATTATGGATATGAGACCAGTTTGGGCTATTTAGCAAGTTCCAGGCAATCCTGTTTTAAATAGTGAGGCCCTGTCTTTAAAGACAAGTGTGGGGCTGGGTTGTGACTCAGGGGTTAAGAGCACATATTGACTGTTCTTTCAGAGGAACAGAGTTCAGTTCTCAACACCCATGTCAGACTGCTTACAATCTCCTGTAACTCTAGGACTATGGAGTCTAATGCTCTCTTCTGGCCTCAAGGGCACCTGCACTCACGTGCACACAACTATGCACACACACACACAGAACTAAAAACAGTAAAAATACATATTTTTTAAAGTGAGTTATGAGAGATTCACAGAAACGAGAAATGGATTTGGTAGGTTTAAAGATGTGTCAAAGAAAGAATGCAATCTGGATTTGGCTTTGGGGGCTTTCAAGAGGCAGAAAAGGAGAGACCAAAGAGGGAGACACATGGGCTGGAGAGATGGCTCAGTGGTGAAGGGCATTTGTTGCTCTTTCAGAGGACCTGGGTTTGCTTCTTAGCACTCACATCAAAGGGCTCATAACTGAATGTCACTCCAGCACAAAGGGATCTGACATCCTCTTCTGGCCTCTGTGGGGACCCATATGCACATGACATATACAGACACATACCCACAAATACAAAATAAAATCTGGGGGGAAAAAAAAGGGAGAGGTGGAGGCTCCTGGTGTGTTTGGATAAGAGTTGGTCACCCTGACTGATTAGGGCAGGTTTGTTTAAAACACCTCCGAGCCTGGAGTGGGAGGAGAGGAAGCAGAGGCTTGGTTTGTGGGCCTCCATGGCTAGGCTTCCTCTGGTCCTGGAGCCAAGAAGAGACAGTGTTGTTCAAGTGGGGTTTTACAGAATTGGGGGGGGGCACAGGATGGTGATTACAAAGGAGCTAAAGTGACCCCGTGGAAGACACATGGCTGAGGGGAACTTTTTTTTTTTTTTTTTTTTTGGTTTTTCGAGACAGGGTTTCTCTGTGTAGCTTTGCGCCTTTCCTGGATCTCGCGCCGTAGACCAGCCTCGAACTCACAGAGATCCGCCTGCCTCTGCCTCCCGAGTGCTGGGATTAAAGGCGTGCGCTACCACCGCCCGCCCGGCTGAGGGGAACTTTTAAAGTGGGGAAGAAGAGAAATGAAAAACCATTCCAGTGTGAGAGCGTTATCGACGAATAACCAACTGTGCGGGGACTCTCGAGAGCGTTATCGACGCAAATAACGAACTGTGCGGGGACTCTCGCTGTGAGATGTCCAGCACTGACACTACTAAAGGGTTTTCACCCTGGCTAGACTAGCCATGCTCTGCCTCTGGCAAACGCTGCCGAGGAAGTGGTGTTTGTGCGGGCCCCTGTGAAGCTGTGTCTGCTGGCAGTGGCCAGAAAGGGTGTTTCAGGATCGGGGAGCTGTTAGCCTCGGACCAGTGTTCGTCACACGAATCACCTAACTAGATAGAGAAGATGAGATGTAACTGAACACAAGGAAAGGTGTGCAGTAGGCTTTCAGAAAACAAAAACAATAAAACACTCTGGGTTTGAGGAAATGGTGAGATTTGCAGAAGAGGAAGCAGGGTGCTTCTTGGTCCCTGATTCTGACTGCCGCACGCACGTTCTGTCCGGTTCCCCCTGAGCGTCCTTGGCTCCTTGCTTCCTCATCAAACCCACACACATCTCTCTACCCCTTTCTTGCCCCTCCTTCCCTTGGTTAGATCCAATAGCAGAAACTCGGAGTATGAGACACAGTTTCACTGCCAGCCCAGTAAGAAGCTGGACTCTTTCTCTGCAAGATCCACTGGCCAAAGGAACTGGTAAAGATGGAGATTTTGTGACTGAGAATGAGTGGGGAAAGAATTGGGAGATGGAGAAAGGTCACCGCCTGTGCTTTGTTTGTTTACGTGGCTGTCGTGTGCTGGGTCCTGTGTGGGCAGTAAGAGACAGGGATAGTGAGAAATGTGGTGGGTGAGATGACTCGGACCTACATGGAGACTGTAAACCGCTCTAATAAGAGCAGACAAAAGAAAAGTACTTGGCTCCAGCACGTTAGATTTAGCTCAAGTTTTGTTTTGTTTTTCTTCAGTTGGGTAGACTAGTGTTGAATGAGACAGACTGGACTGGTTGTAGCTGGAGATTTTAGCCTGGGTGCTCAGGCTCCTCAGCTGATTGTTATTTTACTATATCATATTTTGTTGATATATGTGTAGGAGTCTTATATCTGAGGGGTCATTACTGAGAATAACTGCCATAATGAAAAGGAAAACATCCTGTTTTATCTTTCCTGCAGACAAGATTACAGTGTGCATGAGATGGCGATCTTTGTGCTATTGCTTGGCCTCGGGGTGGTTCTCATAGCGCCTTCAGAAAGCACGGTGAAGGGCATCAGAGAAAAATTTTCACAGGAGGAGACGCATCCTGCTGCAAAACAGACTCTTGGGGAATCAGTGAACTCAACCCTGTCAGATAAAAATATCAGCCTCAGCATATCCAAGAATGGGATGGCTACCTCACCCCCAACATCCAGAAGGTTATATTTCCTCATCCCCAAGGGAAACACTTTGAGTAATGACCAAGACTGTCTAAACGGCCCGAGAGTCTGCAGAGAGGTTTTAGACACGAATGAGTCGTGCCAGTTGGGTAGTAACTTTAGGCACGGGTCCCCCAATGGGATACACGGAACTCTCAAGGCCACCCGCTGGAAATGTGGCCTAAGCTCCTGTGAGAGCCTAGGACTGGAGCACACCATGTGCAAGGTCACTGCAGGCCAGCGGTGCCCCAGGTGCCAGGAGCACAGTGTCACCTCCTTAAAGAGAATCTTGACAGTGCTGACAAGCCACTCCCTGATGAGCTGGCTAGTCAGCGGCTCTAAAGTGTAAATCGCGGGGCTTTGAGGGTAAAGAAGGACAAGTTCACGATCATTGCTGCTTCTACCCTTCTGCGACACACGTCTGTCCCCTGGTACGCAGTACACACTGTTTGTGCTAAACTGGATAAATGGGGGGAAATGGCCCAGTGCAGCACAAGTCAATTAAGAATTGTAACTGATCCTAGAATCCAGACTCACGCTCTTGCTCTCACTCTCTCTCTCTGGATGCCTTCCTAGTTCAGTTATAAAGCTGTCCCAACGCTGAGTCTAACCCAAGTGGACAAAGGAAAGAAACTCCAAGTCAGATAGTGAATGAGGGTGAGACGTATACTCAGTGCTGTTCCTCCAAGAAGTGTGAGCATAAGTGTGAGCATATGTGTGTGCCTGAGTGCAACTGCCTCCCACCAGTGGGTTGGTTGCCCGTCCTCCAGATGTCTCTGCAGCACTGTACCATCTGCATTCCTCCACCAGTATTCCTATCTCAGGGCTGCTGCAGAGAGATGAAACACAGCTCCTCTCGCAGCCAAGCAACGTCTTGCTGCTCCAGAACTTCGCCTGCGTAGTGGCAAACGATGGGAAATACAGGAGGTAGCGACGGAAATATGACGTTTCTGCCGAGTTCCAGGCAGGGTTGTCTTCGGACTTGATGCTTTCTCTGCCAATTTTAAGTCCTCGGAGTTAACAGAGCATGAAGCACAGACAGTTATCATTATTTGCTGTTGTGCAAATGTATGCTCCTGTTTCCCCTCTTATTTCTTTCCTGCATCCCGATCCCACTCTTTTTTTTTTTAAATGCTTAATTCTAAATAAATGCGTGCAAATGAAGGCCATGTTGTTGTAATGTTTTTCTTGCAGTGCATGGTTCGTTTTATCTTGATATTCCCAATGTTTTTACACTGATACAGAATTCTCAGACTATGGAGACTACAAGAGGCTGACAGTCAACCAGTACAGACCATTAGAACAACATTTGACATCTGGGGGCTTTTTAACTGGATTCTCTTTGTCGGCATGATGGCTGCTTAAACACTGCCCACACTCACTGTTAGTTTGGGTCACTGGTATACAATCAGAGTTCAATTTGTATTTGGCAGTAAGAGGAGAGTGACTTAGGGAAATGCCTGGGTTCTGAACAATAAATGAGGATATAGGTTGGCTGAGGTGCTCGCTCAGTGAGTCCATTCTAGGGTCATTTTCATGTGGCAGGTCTGATACTACACTCATTCACCACATAGAAGAGTGGATTCTCCAACAGCCCAAGTTGTCTCTTCGTGGTTCACATTCAGTTCATATATTAGTAACTTCATTTTTACACCATTCATTTATAGTAGAGGGGCCAGTCAGCCCTAGGGATAACTCGCTTTTGTTGTTTTATTTTGTTTTACAATATGCAAGAAGAAGCCAACCCATCTTAGCACGTATTGCTTCTCTCATCAGGAAAGAAGAGCAAAGACCCAGGACAGTAGCTCTTTTTCAGGCTGGGAGCATCTTCCAGAGAGGTGTGATCAAGAACACACCATCCACCTCTCTGAAGGAAGCAGGAACTCTGGCTTCTAACCGGTTCCTGCGATCTCCCAGAATCTATCACTTCATCATCGTACTGTGGTCTGGAAAAAACAGAAGTGCCATAAAGGCACACGTTTCTGACTCCAGAGCCCATCACTTCTTTGATGTATGTGTCACAAGGTTCCTTGCGAGGCGTTGAGCGGGGAATTTGAGCTTTCAAATATTAGGTTTTCATCACTTCCCATTTCTGCTCACCAAACCTGCAGGGGCTCCTTTGGTTTGGTTTTGTGGCTTTGTATCTAAGTTGATCAGGCTGGTTTTCCGGGCTCCAGAGTCCTCTTTCACCATCCCCAGTCTTCCTTCCTGCGTCTGTGGTTTTGAGGCTGCTATCCTCCTTGGCCATTGCTTCCCTCCTACAGAAAGGGTTTGCTCCCTGCCTCCCCGTCCTTGCTTTCTTTCCCTTTTCTTACTTATCTTAACCCTTGAGCACATGAGCCACACCTGCTAAGAACCAGTCCCAGCATCCCTGGTACTTGTTAGGGAAGTAACTGAAAAGTAAATATGCCTTTGTAGTTGAAAGGAAAAGTGAGAGGCAGATCCGATTCCGAAGCAGCCACGGGAGGTACCCAGAGAGCAGAGAAGGGGTTCAATATCCTTATCCGTGCAGTGTGGATGTTGGATGAGATCTGGCCCTGGGCATTCGTGAGGATCATTGTGGAGGAGTTTCAGGTCACCCAAGCCAACTCTCCTCACTGTCAGGGCACCCAGCCTCACTTCCTCTCTTAGGCTCTCTGAGCTGAAGTGATGTGAGCAGGGTCCGAGTCCAGGTTTCATCACAATGTACTGAAACACCTTGTCATTATTCAATAACTAGATCCCCCACTGGACTGCGTCTTCACTTAAATATTTTATATAATAACGATAGTAATGGCCCAGGAATAAGCTGAATTCAGAGGGAACCATGTCCCTAACAGCTGTGCTACGCAGTTGTTCCGCCCACCTGCTGTTGACAGGTTGTTATATGAGAGGGGAAAAAAGGGTGTGTTTTAAAGCCCTGCTCTCTGAGATTCCATCCCGTGAGTTTGGCCTTCACATAACAAACTTCCTAATTATAGAAACTGTTGTTAAGCGCAAGTCCCTAGGCTGGAGGTCTAGGAAGAACCCTGGGTTCTGTAGACAAAGGGCAGGATCGAGCGTGTGGTCATTTTGCAAAAAGCATCAGGGTTGCTGAAGGGCCCAGAGTTTCACTCCCACTCAGCCAGGCAGATCAAAAAGCTTTCTTCCTAATTCGAGTTTCAGTGAGTAGGGAAAGGTTGCTACTTATGTGTTCAGAGCCTTTGGGGCAAAATAATTCAGTGTCACCTCACATGCCTACCTCCTCGCCAGTCCCCCGGGGCAGCCAGGCAGTCTTTTTATCCTGAAAGCCTCTGGACAACCAGCGTTTCTGAAGGCAAACACAGGACCCTGGAAGAGCCACTCGCTTCTAAACAGTGAGTGAGAAGTTCAAAGAGAGACTGAACATCTGAAATGCAACTTCATTTCCCCCCAGGAGAGAGTTGGCAGCGCTGGGATAAGACAACTTGAAAACTCTTTCATCCTTCTTGTTTTGGAAGCCTGCTAAGGCTTTCAGAGTCACAACAATGATAATTGTCACACGATTGTTCGTGGCCATGGTAATTGTAATAACAGAACAGAGTACTTCCAGCACGTCAGAAAGATCTACAAATTCTCTTTTTACTCTCAAACAATCCACACGGAGTGGAGTCGATGACGTTACCTACAGACAGTAGGCAGTGTTGAAAGTCATGTGTATAACTGCTCTCCGCAGGGGCAGACAAGGACAGTTTGATTTCATAGGTCACCCTTCTAGCCTATCATCTGTATTTGATAGAAGAAAAACACACTTGTCAATAACTGTAAGGAAAGACAATTCTGACTGTTCCTGAATAAAATATACCTTACCACTTACCATTTGCTTTGACGATGAAATGGTAGCTGTCATCATTATTATTTTTATACAATTAGATTGTTACACTATACTAAGTAAACAACTGAAGACAGTTTTCCACATATTATTGTTAAGGGTTTACCATATATCTTAAACCTATAAAGCAGTCTGTCAGAAAGATGAAACATACTTACAGAAAAAGATAATCAGAAGACATTATCTGAAAATTAGCCAAGGAAGGAATAATCATTAAACATTTGAAAACATTTCTTTCTCACTAAATGGAGAAACGATGTGCTGTCATTTTTTAGCTATTTAAACAAAAGTCTGTGTATGTGTGTTTCTGTGTGTCTGAGCGCGGATCCCCGCAGCAGCATTAGATGCTCTGGGGCTAGAGTTATAGGCGGTTGTGAGACTTGTGATGTGGATGCTGAGAACCAAACTCTGGTCCTCTGCAAGAGCAGAATTGCTCTTAATCACTGAGCCATCTCTCCAGCCCCTATCACTCTTTAAATCAATCCAATCAACAGGCACAGATTAAGAAACTAAGAGTGTTGGCATGAACATAGATGTGCAGGCTCTCTGCACATCTGGAGCTAAGTTTCTGGAGCAGGCTCTCTGCACATCTAGAGCTAAGCTGCTGGAGCAGGCTCTCTGCACATTCAGCTGCTTCACCTGGTGGCTGCTGATGTTCCTTCTTCCTCTCTTATGTCCTCTAGGTAAGGAGCTCAACTCGGCCATCCCTGGCTCTGGGGGTCTTGAAGGTCAGGACGTATCTGAGGGCCTCAGGAGGCCCTGGACTTTTCTTGCATGGGCCATAGTGCTGGGCAGGTAAGAGTTCTGGGCTCTGCGTGTCCTCTCTTTGCCCCCAGCTCAGACTCTTCAGGAACCCCATGTTCTGGATGAGAATGTAGACAGAGACCCCTGAGACACTCCTGGGTATGGGAAGCAGGGGCCTGTTAGAGGGAAATGGGTGAGGACAATGGCCAACATAACCTAACTACGCTCAATCCCACTTTCTTTCCTCCCGTTCCATTTTTATATTTTTTCTTCTTGACCAGTGTCTTAATTAGGGTTTTTATTGTTGTGAAGAGACACCATGACCATTGGCAGCTCTTATAAGGAAAGCATTTAATTGAGGGGACTTACTTACAGTTTCAGAGGTTCAGTCCATTATCATCACAGCGGGGAGCATGGCGGTGTGCAGGCAGATGTGGTGCTGGAGCTGAGAGTCCTACATCTTGAGGCAACAGGAAGTCGACCGACAGTCACACTGAGGGAAGCTTGAGAAAAGAGACTGCAAAGCCCACTCCCACAGTGACACACTTCCTCCAACAAGGGCACATCTCCTAATAGTGCCATTCTCTTTGGGGGTTGCTTCTTGGAGGTGGGGAAGGAGAGTCATCTACCTCTCCAGAAAAGAGGACGCTCCAGGCTCACGAAGGTAGAAGTCAGAAGTTGGATTTTGACTGTGTTAGAAGCAGAACCGACTTAGTCTGTTTTCTTATTAAGCTTGCTAATTATGCTTTAATTAACGTTAATTGTATTTAATTAATACTAAAGTTTGCTATTGTCCTTTCCCCCTTCAGCATGGATGATGGCTCAGGAAAACTGGAAACCTAGGACCCTCTGCACAGGCTGAAGGCAGCTTAACAGGTTGGAGAGTATCACTTATAGGCAGCTCAGCTAGTCTGAGTGCCCCTCAGCAGCCTTTGGTATTTAGATATGGTTCTCTCGAGGACTAGAACTGATAAAATGAATATAGGGATTTATTAGAGTGGCTTATAGGCTGTGGTCCTGCTCGTTGAACAATGGCTGTCTCCCAGTGGAAAGTCTGAGAATCCAGTAGTTCTTCAGTCCACAAGGCAGAATGTCTCAGCTGGTCTTCAATATATACCCGAAACCCAAAGAGGTAGGCTCTAATACCAGCGAAGGAATGGACTTGCCAGAGAGAGCGAGGGCGAGCGTAAGTATTTACTCCAGCAAGGACAAAGTATCGCCCTTTCCATGGAGGAAGTGGTCTAATGTAATCAACCTGCTACCTGGTCGCCGGCTGGTCACCCCGGGGAATGGTGCCATACTGAGTGCTCAGTGTTGATCTTTGCTGTTGGCAGATCTGGCACTCACCAGCAGCTCTATCCAGTCAGCCTTAATGAGTGGAAGTCCATATTGTTGAACCCATGCATAACCTCCATCTCCGCTACTGTGGTCATATTGTTCATGGGCCCATTGGGCAATGACAGGATGACTGGGCAAAGAAGTTGAATATCCATAGAATGGGTCATCCTATCTACTTGATAATTAAACTCCTCAGCTGAAATTACCTTTTGATGAGCATTTACATGTGACACAAGTAGCTTCACATCTTTTGCCCACATAGAGATCTAGCCACATACTTCTTTCCCAATGTCTTTCTCATCAATGTCCCAATCATTCCCTCTTCAAGTTCCTGGTCATCCAGCAAATCCACTGGCTACATCCCATGAACCAGTGAATAATTGTATATCTATCCATTTCTCCTTCCAAACAAAATGTGTGACCGTGTGCACTGCCCAAAGTTCTGTCCACTGTGAAGATTTCCTTTGGCTGGTGTCTTTCAGGGTTGTCCCCAAAAGGGTTGTAATAATGTTACAGCGGTCTGCTTCTGGGTGGTGCCTGCATAATGTATAACCCAGGCCCTAATTTTCTCTGTGTCTGTCAACTGATCATGGTGTGCACCCCATTACACACGCTGTGGCTTCTACTCCTGTTACAACGCCTTCTGCTACCAAGAGTGGACTCAGGGGGTCAGCTTTGTGCAGTAAGCCTTTTACCCTCTGAGCCCTCCCACTGGTCCCCATGGAATTGATCTCAGAGTAATGCCTTTTCTTAAAAAAAATTTCAAGGTTATTATTTTCATGTACTTTGTAGTAAATAATGCAGAGCAATCACCATACCTTTAAATCATTTTCACCAATGATAACATGATGCAAAATTACAACACGGTATGAAGACCTGGGTATTTACCTTGATACAGTCAAGAACATGCCAAACATTCCCTAAACAGAATATTTTCATAACCATAAGCATCTTTCATGCTGTCTTAATGTAGTCAAACCTGTCCCTTTTGTCTCATTAGCTTCATTTTTTACGTCAAGTCACACACACACACACACACACACACACACACACACACACACACACACAGAGTATACACATATATGCACTCATGCACACACAAGTGGTATATACATACAAACAAACACACACAAACATATATTCACATACACACAAAGACTGCCTGTCTTTTCCCTAAATTGAGAAGTAAATAGTATACTGTATGCACAGTTACAAGCTCACACTTGTGTTAAGTTTCCCTCTTGCTACCTATTGGCCGTTAGAGTATTTCCTGTTTTTGCCACTTACTTTTGATGTGATGTTTTGTGTCCTTGTCCAGAGAGGTATGTGATTCCATACTCAAGTATGGGATATCATCTACCATAATTTCTTTTATGCCTAAATTTTTTCTTATGTAGTAAGGGTATTTCTTACCTTAAATTATGAAAAAGGTTTTGTTTTGTTCTAAAAAAAAAAAACCCAATTTTTATCTTTAAAAGTTACTTTACGGCCAGGCGGTGGTAGCGCACGCCTTTAATCCCAGCACTCGGGAGGCAGAGGCAGGTGGATCTCTGTGAGTTCGAGGCCAGCTTGGACTACCAAGTGAGTTCCAGGAAAGGCGCAAAGCTACACAGAGAAACCCTGTCTCGGGGAAAAAAAAAAAAAAGTTACTTTACTTTCTAAGCTACATAAGTTGAGGAGTGAGTGTGTTCATATGGGGTCTGTGTGTGTGTGTGTGTGTGTGTGTGTGTGTGTGTGTGGTGTGAAGTGATGAGTGCATGTGAGCATATCTGTGTCTGTATGGCATGTGTGTGTGTTATGTGAGGTATGGAGGTCTATAGTACTTTTTTTCTTGATATATCCATGATTTAACCATATTCACTATTCTTTTACAAAATAAAATTTGTCAGAATTTTTGACCTTATGCATTATATATTTCATCTTCATTCCATCTCTGACTTCAGAGAAGAATGAAAATATTAAGCAAAACATAACTAGGAGTTGAATAAATCAGTCTATATTGTCCAGGATCATATTGACTTACAGGCAAAACGTAGCAGATTTCTATTTACCACAATCTTTTAACATGTTATATAACCTTATACTTTAAAAGGCTAAACAAAGCACTAGTAAAAGTTAATTTGTAGAAAACCTTAATCACTTGTGAAGAGGTTTCTGTCATTTGTTGGAGTGACTTTGTTTTTCCAAAATAAGATATGAAAATTACTCTGTGTTTGGAAAGCTGATTTTCAATTAATGAGAATTTTTTTTTTGCTCCTTGTGGTGTATCCTGTATGCTGCTGGAAGCTCCAGCACTGGGGCATTCACCTTAGAGGAAGAAACGCTCAGAATCACATAAACAATGTGTTTGACTGCCTTGTTATCCACACTGGTGTGTCTGTCCAGATTTTCTTGACTCAGTGTGGTCCTCACTTAGGTTATGAGGTGAATGTCCAAGTGCCTCAAAATGTTTGTGAAAAGAATACATTTGGTGCAACTAAAACCTGGAATTTCCTCATCAAATTGAATCAGGAATACTTGAGGTCTTGAAAGTATATTGTACTATTAAAGTCTTTTTTGAGTTGCAAAATTTTTAGTTGTAAAACTAAGATTAAGAAACTATCAAGATGCCACGCAGTGGTGGTACACACCTCTAATCCTAGCACTTGGGAGGTGGAGGCAGGCTAATCTTTGAGTGTGAGACCAGCCTGGTCTGCAGAGTGAGTGTAGGACAGTCAGGGCTACACAGAGAAACCCTGTCTTGAAAAGCAAAAAACAAAACAAAACAAAAGAAATTAGCAAGAAATAAATTATTCATTAATAACACTTTACTAAGATTTTTTTTTTTCTTTTCTCCTATGTAATCTACATTTTCATTAATTAAGATGGTGAGGTGAGGCTGGTGAGGTGACTCAGTGGGTAAGGGCACTTGTTGCCAAGTCTGAGAACCGCAGTTCAATTCCTGAAACCTACGTAATGGAGAGAGAGAATCAACTCCCACAACTTGTCCTCTGACCTCTACGTGTGCACCATGGCTCACATGCACCCATACCTTGCAACACACACAATTAAAATGTAATAATAATTAAAGACGATGAGGTAGACAGAGGTCAGTATTCTGATTTCTCCACCCACACAACCACACTTCTTTTGTCCATGGTCCTTGTTGCTTTGCCGTTCAGTCGGAGCAGCTCTTTTATTAACAACTGAAGTACAGCTGGGTTTTAATCACAGGGCTTTGCTTTTATTTCTCCAATAAAAGCATGTGTTTCTGGCTGACCAGTCAGAAGTCCCCACATCTCTGATTTACTCAAGTGATGGAAGCTAGGCCAATCAGAAGAGTCATTTTCCTTGATGGAATTTGGTGGGGGAGGGCCGCACAATGGGAACACTGTGACCCTCTGATAGGGTAGAAAAGTGACAGTGCCTGGCCCTGCCAGTCCACAGAGCACCCACACAGGAGCAAATCTGGTCTGCACAGACGTGGAGCGGAGTGGGTGGCAGGAGCCGGGGAAGACCTTTAACTTCCGCCTTCTGTGCCCAGTGGACTACCCTCTTGTGTGAGTCAATACAGCCCCTCTGGAGTTTAAGATAATGTGTTGAGGATTTCTCTCCCTGTTACCTAGACACTCCCAGCACTGTGCTATAGAAGCACAAAATTCTTCACCATATGTCTCTAAAATGCCATAGCTTCGTGTATGTACAAAAACTGGAAAGCGGTCTATCCAAAGAAAGCATAGCTCCATGAACATAAAACACCGTCTCAATAATAGATACCCATTTACAATTATTATTACTGGTGTGGGTAATTGTTACCATTCTGAATATATTAGACTCTGTTTAATCTTTCCCACACTAGTAGACTTTCAAATTTCGAAAGTTTTCTGCTTATGTAAATGGCTGTTTCCCATGCATGTTACTGTAATCCCCTTTCTTAAATCATCCATTTAGAAGTTTAGATAGTAAAAAACTGCCGGGCGGTGGTGGCGCACGCCTTTAATCCCAGCACTCGGGAGGCAGAGCCAGGCGGATCTCTGTGAGTTCGAGGCCAGCCTGGGCTACCAAGTGAGTCCCAGGAAAGGCGCAAAGCTACACAGAGAAACCAAAAAAAAAAAAAGATAGTAAAAACCTTTCTACAAAAGCTTTATGACCTTTAACCCTTTTGTCTGCCACCTTTTCTTTTTTCTCAAAAGTATTGTAACAATTTCTTCCTGATCAAAATCTCATGAATGCTTAATATATCACATTCTCACCACATATATATATATATCCATATATATATCCTATTATATATGGTGATATCTTGTAAACCATTTTCTCGGTGAGTTCTCAGTAAGTTAAAGGGTAGGTCCTAGAGCTTCAGACTCCACTGGCCATGTGTGTGCTGACTTTGCTCACTCTAACTCAAAGTGCTGAAGAGGCTCTGGGTTCTCATTATAGAGGCTCTGAGTCCTCACTGCGGAGCTGTGAGCCAAGCTCTCTGGCTGTGACAATGTGATATTGATGGAAGTGTGAAAAATTATGGAGGGATGGGTTATGAACATGTTCACATGGGATGAGTAACCACTCAATACCACCAGTTTGGAATATATCTTTTCTTCTTCTCTCTGTACTTCTGTGCTCAACATTCCTATTCTCTCCATTTCCCACTGTGTGCCCCCAACTTCTGACTCTCTCTCTCTCTCTCTCTCTCTCTCTCTCTCTCTCTCTCTCTCTCTCTCTCTCTCTCTCTCTCTAATTCATAAGAACAGAATCCAAACCTGCAATTAGCTACAATCGTCTTCCCATCTCCCTTCTACATGGGCCAGAATTTCTGGGTTATGACAATTATATTCCAGAGTGAGAAAATGCTAATAACAGTACACAAAGTAAACAATGTTTCTATCCTTTGGTTGTTTCAATGTTGGTAATATATAAGAAGTCTTTGGCATAGCTTACAGCATAGAGCTTCTTACACTATATCTGTGTTACCTTTTTAAGAATTAAATGAGCTTCAACAATGTGCTTCTGAGCTGCTCAGATTCATTCTCTGTTCCTAATTCAGAAGGATTTCTTCTCACTGAAGATCAAAATCTCTGGTATCAAGTTCTAAGTCCAGCAACCCAAACACCCATTCTCTGAAGAATAGATAACACAGGGTATAGATGAAATAAAGAGGCGACAGACACAGTCAGGCTCTGAAGCCTGCTCTGAGTTCAGATAAGGTCATTGCTCTCGACTGAAAGAAAGATCTTGGAGAATTAATGAGAAACAGTCAGATTTGGGATAGGGATGCAGAAGACAAATGAGCCCAGAAATTCTCTACAAAAGATGATTCGCTGGACTAAAGCATAGACTATGCCTCATTGCTTATTTTAGTAAATGGGAAGAATCTCTGGATAGATGTTGTTGGTCCTCAGTTTCTTTTTTTTTTTTAGGTTTTTCGAGACAGGGTTTCTCTGTGCAGCTTTGCGCCTTTCCTGGATCTCGCTCATCTAGACCAGGCTGGCCTTGAACTCACAAAGATCCGCCTGCCTCTGCCTCCCAAGTGCTGGGATTAAAGGCGTGCGCCACCACCGCCCGGCTGGTCCTCAGTTTCTTATAAAAAAAAAGACCTTTAAAACTTAGCACAGTTAACCAGACAGTTTTATGATATGCACCACCAATATGGGCACAATATTTTCTTTTTAAATTATCTTCTGCTCTATGTCATTGGCTTATCATTGAATTGATAAGCAAAGACATTTGCTCAAAAACTTGTAAAGACCTGTATGTACATGGAAACAGTAGGCAGCAGATTGGGGGCCTAGGGTGGGGTGAGTAGTAGATATAGAGAAAGCCGAGCAGTGTGGTAGCTGTGAACTCTCTACTGATGAGATCAGCATAACTGTAGACAGTGATTCGAATTTGGAGTGAGTTTAGGGAGGTTAAAACCCAATCTAAACAGGAACCATCAAGTTCACCTAAGGGGCAGGAGGAAGCATCAATGAAAACACCAGAAAGTAAATGATGTACTTTGGTGGAAGAGCGGTACAACATGGCAAGAGGCTTAAAACGGACAGAGCAGTTAGAGACATGGACGTGGAGGTACATGTTAAAATTCTGCCCTCACTCCAACTACGTGACTGCACATTCGCAGTTCAGGGTCTTATGCCTTATGTCATCAGTGTGTGCTGGCGACTATGTATGTGCGGCATGGTCACACAATCTGCACCTTAAAAAGCCAGACGCAGACCCCACCCTCTCTCTCTCTCTCTGCTCTGCTCCCTCTCCCACCCCACCATCTTTCTCCCTCTTTCCTCTCCAGGCCTGGTTCTCTTGTACCCCACCCCCTTCTTCCTCCCAATAAAGCTCTCTGTAACTAGGTAGTTGTGGCCATGGCTCATGATTTTTCCACGCAGTAACCAGCGCTACTTATCATTCATTTCAGTACAGTCAGCCCAGTAGCCAGCTTAGTGTATGTCTGCTGTGCCTCTGTGGACATTTGCTGGACTCTTCAAGGACATCTGTGGCCAGATGTGAGCAAGATGAAAATGAAAGCCCTAAGACGGAGAGTGCTCCTTGTCAGAGCAAGATCAACAAGGGGGGAAGCTGGTTCATTTCTGTGCACGTTATTGATTTCTGGGAATGAGTCAAATGTGTTTGTTCTAGGCAAAAGGAGCAACGTGCTGCCTGTGGCCCCTCTCTTCTCTCACTGTGGCTATGATCTCCCCCAGCCCTTCTCCCAGCCTTTTATTGGTTTCCTTTATCCCACCTCCACTTCCTCCCACCTCCCCTCACTTCTTCCCTCTCTCCTTCTCTAGCTCTGTCTCTCTTTCTTTCACATCCCCCACTTTACCTACTATCCCCAAGACTAACACGGTTGTTTTAGAGTCAATATTAGGGAGGTCTTCTGTGGGGCGTTTACCCAACCACCCCCACAGTTCCCCAGAGTTTTCTTGAGTGCGAGCAGCAGGAAATATTAGATAGAAGGATTTATTGCGGAGAATATCGTGGAGATAAACAGATGGAAAATAAAGGATAGCCTCGGGAGGGCCTGGAACCTATTCCAACGGGCCCCGACTGTCTCTGCCCCAGAGTTTTTATAGAGACGCCAGGGGGTGGAGCAAAAGACCTCCTCCCCCAGCACAGCCAAGTGCAGACCATCTCAGACTCCTGCACTCAGGCCCGTGGTCTAATCATCCTCTATTCAGACCTGCTGGGTAAAGCCGCGAGGAACCCGAGAACGGGCTCCCACAGTCTTCAAACAAATTCTGAAGTCTCACCTAACGGTTTTCCAATGGGCCACCTACTCAGAAGTGCAGAGAACAGTGAGAGTTGGTCTAAGTGGCCCCTGTGTGTAGAATACAAACATTGCGTCATAATAGAATGTCTCTCTTCACTGCTTTGACTCTGCAGGGAAAGAATGAAGTCTCTGGTCACCAAGTACCCACGGCCGTTGACGCTGCTGCTGCTGCTGCTGCTGCCGCCACTCAAGCTGCAAGGGGAAAAATGGGATTACTCGGATTATGAAATGATGCCAATATTAGGTGACTACCTAAGGGAACTCCATAGCACAGGACCTACCAAGCCACCTACCAAAGAAAGAATCATAGAAAAGATTATTGCTGATCCCCAGCGACCTTTGGTTGGCGATGATTACTGCGACACTGAACTCGTGTTTAAAAATATTCACAATAAGCTTCTCTGCTATTCGGAGTACTACTTTGTAGCTGAGACCTATCAAGACCTGCAAAAGGCCTGTTATGGCAAACAAGTAAAATGTAAGAAAGGGGCTTCGTTTTGCAGAAGAAGCACGGAATTAATGAAAGGAGTGAAGTGTGCTTTAGTAAGCGGAGAGAGGATATCAGAGTGCTCATACGAAAGCATCTTCCTGACAGGTTACCCGGTTGTCACTTGCCGGTGGGATGATGAAACCCAAGAATTTATCCCTAACCGTGTACTTGATATATTGATACCTAGGAGCAGGAAAGTATCATAGGCCAGGAATATGACTTCCCCTGACATTCCGGGTTTCTCTAAGTAGTTACATTAGATACGCTAAGTGGGTACGCTTTAGATACTGATGGATGCTGTTAGTTAAAAGTGAGAATGGCAGTTCCAGGCCATTCACTCTGATCACCCCCCTGCCTCCTTTCCCGTCCCCAAAGCATCGAATGGCCACGTGTGCTATGCTCACAAGACTCCAGCAGTTGTTTTCATAAAGGTCACAGAATGTGTCATGACAATAAAAGTCTGCAGCAAACAGATGGTCAGCATGAAGAACAGCAGGGGGCCGGGTGTGGGAGCTCAAGTTTGTACTTTCAGCACTTTGGAGGCTAAGGCAGAAGTTCATAAGTTCAAAGCCAGTCTGTGTTACCAGGCAAGAAAACCCTGGCATAAGCAAACAAACAAAAAAACAACAACAACAAAAAATATAGTTTGGAATAGCTGCCTGAAGGATCATCAGAATTTTCATGTGATTTTTCTGGCTCAGCATCAAAAATCAAGTGATTCAATCTTAGTGACTGGCTCTGGGTGCCTATGGGGAATTCCCAGGGCTGGGCAGCAGTTTTATATCAACAACTTACACTCCTTTCAGACTTTTATGCAGTGTATCTTTCCAATGTTATGTTGGTATATATTTCACTTTTCATGTTCTCTGTATTCAACACAATACATGGTACCATGAAGGAGGAAACCACAGGAAGGAACATCTCAAGATAAAAGGCGTTAAGGACCTAGGAAAGCCAACTCGTCAGAGCACCTGCCAGTTGTGAGCATGTGTGTGTGAGAAACCCCACCGTTTTCAGAGCTCAGCCATCAGTCTTCACAAAACCAAGCACAATTCCTGGTTGTCCTCTGGCGTTTTCACAATTCCCCACAGCTCTTCCCTTCCTTTCTGTTAGGCGTGGCTCCATCTGAGTATACTCCGCCTCCGAACAAGGCTGGAGATGGTGATGAAGGAGATGTCTATTCACTTAATCAGTGATTTTCTCCTTTCTTTCAAACTTTTAACTATTAACTAAAACTTTCTGAAAATTCTATTAGAATTAGTAGCAGGGGATGATATGGGTGTCCTGGCCCACTTCACCTCAAATCAATCTTCTAGGCTCCTCCTCAGCTCTTTACCACTATTTTCAGAGTCAAAGTTGAGCTTCTAATTTACTCATTAGTTGATATACATTAAGGCCTGGGTCTGAAAGTCCTTTTTCATTATCCAAATCAGGGGGTAGGGGGCTGTCAGAGGAAACTGATGGGTGATGTTGCTCTGTATGCTGTGAATGTGTTGCTCTGATTGTTGATCAATAAAATGCTGATTGGCCAGTAGCCAGGCAGGAAGTACAGGTGGGATAAGCAGAGAAGGAGAATTCTGGGAGAGGAAGGCTGAGTCAGCAGACACCAGCCGGTCATCTAGGGAGCAGCATGTAAAGGCACACAGGTAAAGCCCACAGAACATGTGGCAACATATAGATTAACAGAAATGGGCTGAGTTTAAATGTAAGAGCTAGTCAGTGGTAGGCCTGAGCTAATGACTGAGCAATTTTAATATAAGCTTCTGAGTGATTATTTTATAAGCGGCTGTGGGGTCCATGGGGCTGGGCAGGACCAGAGAAAATACCAGCTACAAAACCATGCTTCTGAAAGCCTTAACTGGGAGGCCTTTGACTATGACGTTGAATGAGTAAAGGTCCTCAGGAGCTCTTTTGAACCTCCATGACACTGCTACACTACAACACAGCCCTGACAGTGAGCTGCAGAAATTCTATACATGGTGGGCCTGGTATATTCTATGAACCGTATCATCTGGGCCATGATCACATCATTGATCTTTGAATTTTATAATGTACACACAAACATATTTATAGGAGTATAGTATAGCACAACTGAGGCATAAAAAGAATCCTGTAGCTTCCACTCCAGAGTTGCCAATCTTATCCAAATACCTTCTAAAAATATAATCATAGGGCCAAGCATGGTGGCACATGCCTTTAATCTCAGCACTCAGGAGGCAGAGGCAGGAAGATCTCAGTGAATTAGAAGCCTGGTCTACAGAGAGAGCTCCAGGACATCCAAGACTAAATAGAGAACCCTGCCTCAAAAAAGAAAAGAAAAAAGAAATGCAATCATGGTTATATGGATTTTCCTTCTTATCTTTTTTTCTTTATTAAGAAATTTTTTATTCATTTCATATTCCAACCACAGATCCTCCTCTCTTCCCTCCTCCCACTCCCCCCCCCAGCCTTCCCCACCCCACCCCACCCCCCATCCCCTCCTCTGACAAGATAAGTTCTCCCATGGAGAGCAGCACAGCCTGGTACACTCAGTTGAGGCAGGTCCAATCCCCTCCCCCTGCACCAAGGCTGTGCGAGGTGTCCCACCATAGGTAACGGGCTCCAAAAAGCCAGCTCATGTACCAGGGATTCCTTCTTATCTTATACAACAGGAGAAATTCAGAAGTGGGCCTCTACTTACTGAATGCCCTCTCAATGCCTGCTGTGCTTTGAATGTGTCCCCACAGGTGTTGCCAATGCGATATTATTAGACGGCCAGGGCTTGAAAAAGTTATTATGTGATGAAGGATCACTTCTCATGAATGGAATTAAGGCTACTATAAAAGAAGTTTCGTGTAGGCTTCAGCTAGCTTCTTCTCATGCTTCCCACCCCTTGAAGATAAAGTCCTCTATAGATGCTGGAGACTAGACATAAGACTCCCCAACTGAATTATGAAAAACATGTTTCTGGTCCTTATAAATTATTAAGTTATTTTTTAAAACCCCATTTTTTTCATTTTGACAATTACAGAGAGAGAGAGAGAGAGAGAGAGAGAGAGAGAGAGAGAGAGAGAGAGAGTACAATCAGAACATACATGTGAAGGCCAAAGGAAAACTTGTGGGAGTTGGTTCTCGGCATCCAACACATGGGTCCTGGAGAGTAACTCAGGCCATCAGTGGTGTAGCAGCCACCTTAATTTGTTGAAGCACCTCACTGGTGCAGCCTATGGTATTTTGGTATGGTGACAGCAAACAAATGAAGACAAGCCTGCACTATGATTTTCAGTTTTACTGAGTAAGATTTCATAAGCATCACGCTCCAACTTCTATTAGTAATACCTCTCCAAACATGGAATTCCACTGGTTTTTATTGTTTTGACAACTTTTTATATGCATACAATGTATTGGGATATAATACATTTATATTTAATATATTTACAATTATTTATGTGCATATTTACCCCCATAGCTCTCCTTTACCACCCCACCCCCACCATCTTAGTTAGTTTCCTATAGCTGTGAAGATACACCAAGACCAAGGCAACTCATAGAAGAAAGAATTTGTTGGGGTTTACAGTTTCAGGGTGTGAGTCCATGACCATCATCAATGGGAGCACGGCAGTAGACAGGCAAGTCTGAGGGAGAGAGAGAGAGAGAGAGAGAGAACATGCACATGTGAGCTAACCAGCTGGGAATAGCATGAGCTTTTCAATCAGCCAAGCCCACTCCCAGTGACACACCTCCTCCAACAAGGCCACACCTCCTAATCCTTCCCAAACAGTTCCACCAACTGGAGACCACCTATTCAAATGTAAACCATCAGACCCTCCCATTCCTGCTGACCTCCTTTTTCCTCCCAACTAGTCCCCCTCCTACATTCATCATGTCTTGTGTGTGTGTGCCTCGCTGAGTTTAATTAGGGTGGCTTCTGTGACCACGGGCAGGAGGCTATTTACTGGAGCATGGGCAACTTACCAATAGCTAGCTCTACCACTAAAGAAAATGAGTATTCTTCCCCCAGCAACCATTAACTGTGAAAGCCTCCTCAGAAAGGAATGGGGCCTCATGAGTCCCTCTCCATCCACGATGAGATGCTGAAAGGCCCAGTCTAGTCTAAGTCTTATGCAGAGATCCATAACTGCTGCGTTCATGAATGCAATAACTCCAATAATAACTCTTCTCTGTACTCCAGCTCCTACAGTATTTCAACCCCCTGTTTCATGTTCCCTGGGCCTGGGAGGGAATGATACAGATGTCCTATTTACAGCTAAGCACTCAGTAGTTACTTATTGTCAACACTTTGACCAGTTATGGGTCTCCACAATAACTGTTACTTTCTGTCAAAAGAAGGTCCTCCATCTAAGGGATGGGGCATGTGCTAGTCTCTGGGTACAAACAAATGTTTAGAAGGCAGCAAGGTTACATGTCTCATTGGTAACAGATTTCCTCACAGAGCCTGTGACATCCTCAGGGTTAGACTTTTGGCCAGATTGACAGTACCAGGGATGCATTCCCTCTTGAGTCTCAAATCCAATCAGAAAGTGATTGGTCTCCCCATCCCCCACCCACAATCATGGCACTATTTCACCAGTGGGCATACCTTGCCTTGCAAGTTGGCATTTGTTGATTAACAATTTTCTCGAAGGAAAGACTGTCTGTCCACTTTGGAGTGAGGCTCATCATTAAGACAGAGGATGTTCTAAAGAGAGGTAAACCATTCTATCCTGCAAGGAAGCTCCTTAAGACACAGGACAACATGTGTTCCGTTAATATGGAAAGCCAGCCAAGATTTTCTTACATTCTGAAGGCTGCCTCTTCAATCGATGGACAGTTTTCTTTACCATACAGCAGCCTTTTAGTTTCATTAGGTCGCCGAATTGGGAAAAAAAAATGAGGACATGACTGCTCCCAGGTACAAGTTGAGGAGAAGGTTTATTATAGATATGAGGAAGAAAACGGCCAGAGTCATCTGGAAAGGTCCAGATTGAACTGGACCTTGAGCAGGGGAGGGAGTAAAAGAGGGAGAAGAACCAGGAGCCAAGAGGGGTCCAGGAGACCAAGAGCACCAAGAGAATTCGTGTCCAAAATGGCTGAGGTTGTATAGGGATCAGAGGCTGTGGGAGGGAAGCCTAGCACAGTCTGGAGACTTTAGGTTAGGGGGCAGGGTGAGAAGGGCTGAGGAGCCAGGACTCTAGCAGGTATTGGCAATGCTGAGAGAGACTGGCAGGCAGTGTCCACTTGGATATGTCAACTAGGCACCTTGGTTGGCCACTTGTCCCAGGTGAGACCTAACAGTGTCATTTGTCAAATGTTGGTTTATTTCCTGAGTGACCAGAATCCTATTTAGATAATTTTCAGCTGGGCTGAAGAGAATGCTCAATGGTTAAGAGCACTTACTGTTTTAGTGAAGGACCCAGGCTCCTTGGCAGCTTATAACTGCCTGTAACGCCAGTTCCAACGGGTCTGCCACCCTCTTCTGGCCTCAGCAGGCTCCTCCTCTGATTATGTGGTACACGATAATCACACAGCCTCACACACATACACATCATTAAACGAATCTTCAGAAAAGTTGAAAACACTGCAGGCATGTGAGAGCACGCTTGCCTATCTTTCTGTTTATGTTCTCTCTTCAAT